TGGTCGAACTTCCATTGTCAAACAAGATCCTCTTAACTACATAATTGTACACCATAACTATAATTAGTATGGCATAATTATAAGGATATTGGATTCCTTCTAAATCTTCTGAGTTGAAAGAGATCGACTCATCCTTCCAATACTTTTTCCTTTTTACAGAAGAGCTAATGGCCATGACCAAGCCATAATCAAACTTTCTCTTGGCCAAGGTAAAGCTTTCTCCAATGATTACATTGATTACTCCAATAATAGGTCGATTATCGACAACTAAGCCTTCATTTTCCCTCTATTCATCCCTTTAAACTTCTCTTCTCCTGTTTTATCCCATCTGTCTTCCTTATTCCTTGTAGGTTCTTTACAATCCCTTCTTCTGTAATTCGACCTATTCTAACCTTATCTTTTTCAGTCCACAAACCTTTTTAGCTGGCCTCTCTTGATTAGATTCTCAATTTCATTCTTCAAATCAACACAGTCTTCAGTATTGTGGCCTATGTCTCTATGAAATATGTATTTTTTGGTCAAATCCCTTCTTGTATTTTGTTTCAATGGCTTCCGCCATTTGAGCTTTGGGTTTCTCTCTATTTAAATTAGAATCCTCTCTCAAAAGGTATTCAGTGCAGTATAGTTTTTTTTTTTATTGGAGCTCTTAATCTTGTGTCATCTCTCTCTTGAAAAAGATCGTAGAAATCTTTGCCTTTTTTCATACTAAGGAAAAGAATAAGCCTCTTTCACCTTTACTGCCAAGGAAAGGGGATTAACCTTTCTCACCTCGGTTATTTCTCATTGTAGTTTCAACATTTATTTACTTATCGGCAATAAGTAAAACATCGACTAGCATTTTTTGTGGCTTTAATGACAAGGTCAATTTAAAGTGGTACTTTCTATCACTGAGTCCACTTGTTAAGGCAGCTACAACTACCATCTGCTCTAAGTCCTTCACTTCTAAAGCCTCCGTGTTAAAATGCATAATGTAATCTTTCAAAGATTCATTTCTACCTTGATGAATTGATATCAGGCTTAGTGTCATTTTCTTAATTCTTTTATTACTTACAAAATAGGAAAGAAAGGATTGGCTAAGCTTTTTTGCACGTTGTAATTGACCTTAACTTGAGGCTACAATACTAGGACCAAGCTATCCTTTTAAGAGTTGTGGCCTGTCCTTTACATATCAGTGCTTCATTTATATCTTGTATCATGATATTAGTTCTGTAAAGCTCCAAATAATCAAAAGATCAGATGTACCATCATAAGTTTTCAAGGTCAGCATCTTGAATCTTTTTGGAGACATGGCCCTATCAATTTCTTCAATAAAGGGCGAAGTCTCTAAGAACCTAAGCTCGTCCTCAAAAACAATAGTCTTCCCCTTCAGTTCTTTGATTTTTGATTGGTTGGGGTTCCAAGTCAGTTTATTTTGATTTTTGGGTTGTAGCATGAGTCAAAATATAGCTAGGGTAAAGGTGGGCAGCCAGGATAGCATGCTCTTATTCCCTAAAGGCTAAAAAGGCTTCTACTTTCTCATAACTTGGTTGTCTTTCTACAACCTGTCTACCAAGGTTGACCAAGCAGGCACCTTTGAAACTCAAGGTGGAGTTATGGTGTGTAACATTTGCTTGCAGGCTTGTATCTGCTCGGCCAAAGCTTGGAATTGCTCCATGATTGGACTAGCTTGTCATAGGGCAAGTTAGCCCAAATGTTGGCTATTATGTGTTTCTATTGCAGTTGGAGCAACTATCTCTTTTTTCTCATTAGCTCTCTTTCTGAGTGGTATGATTTATGGCTCAGCTAATGAATGAATACTTCCTACCTGAAATGTCAAATGTTTGTGTCGAGCTCTAATATAAAGGAATACTAGAAATACAAGATAGAGAATAGAGTAGTTAGAAGAAAAGGCAAAAAGTATTCGTTACATTTGCACTTCGACATACAAGTAAAAGATTGATATAGAGGAGGTTAGAATGAGAGGAAAGTAAGAAAGGGTTAATATAATAGAGATAGAATGGAAGGAAATGATAGTACGCAAATATTTTTATTTATAGACAGAAGGTGAGGGGTTTATGGGACATAATAGTGATATAGCCGAGCTGATGTGGCACTAAACATGTCAAATTGGTCTGATATGTTAGGTTGTCCCAAAAATCCAAAATACCCTTAATTGTTTATTGGCAACCTCTAATGAGAAAAAGATCACTATGCCCTTCAAACCTAAAAATGCCCTTAACACCAACCTAGTCAAGAAACTTGAAAAAAACCTAACTTTTGTGAGTTCCTTGAATCCTCAGTCACTATGTTTTCGTGCATTATTTCTTAGTTTTATACTCTGATAACTGCCATTATCTGTGATTTGTATATTTAGATGGTAAATAGGTGTGAATGAGGAACTTTTGCCGTTCAGGCCGAGCGAAAGCTATTGAAAGCTGAACGAGCTTTATCTAAGGCCGAGGATTATTTAAAACCAGTAGACAGGCAGGCAGATCCTGAAAGCATAACTGATGAGGAAAGGTTTATGTTTCGCAAGCTCAGGTTGAGGATGAAAGCTTTCTTTCTTCTTGGTATATCGCGTTGTCAAAGAGTTATCAGTCTTCCCTTCTAGAATTTGAGATTTATATGGGAGTTTAATGTCTTGCTTCAGGGAGACGTGGAGTTTCTTATGGTACTATAGAAAAAATGCACTTGCACTGGAAATACAGGGAGTTGGTTAAGATCACCATGAAGTCAAAAACTTTCGATCAGGTAAAAAAGATTGCAATAGCACTTGAAGCTGAAAGTGGTGGAGTTTTGGTTTCAGTTGATAGAATCTCCAAAGGATACGCCATAATTGTTTACCGAGGAAAGGATTATGACCGGCCTTCTACAATAAGGCCAAGGAATCTTTTGACAAAGAGTAGGGCTTTGGCACGTTCAATTGAGCTTCAAAGACGTGAGGTATCTTTCAGAAACTCCTTCATTGGCAAATATGGAACTACATAGCATGTCCCTTATGCTTTTGAAATTCCACCTTTAATGTAAAACTCCTTAGTTTACCTCTTAAAATTGCAGACACCTCTGAAATGACTCATTTTTCTACTTATTCTGTTTTAACAGGCTCTACTAAAGCATATTTCAGCTCTGCAGGCTAAAGTGGAGAAAATAAGATCTGAAATAGTATGGTTTTCTTATGTAGCATATTAGCTTTTGCTTTTATTTGGTTGGCCAGTGTAGCCATGAATATAAATGCATTAACCTTTCTTGCACTTTGATAGGATCAAATGCACAGCATGGAAGACCAAGGAGACGACGAGTTTTATGAAAGAATAGATTCTTCATATCCTACTGATGATGATGACACAGAGGTCAAAATAATTCTCTCTCGATCTGCTGCCACTTGATGCAAGATAGTTAATCTAACATTTTGTTTCTTTTGATTTTTCTGCCTTCTACCGGACTCCGAAGGAGATGAGGCATATCTTGGGACATATGACAGTGAAAATGATGGTGAAGAAGAAAATGACAAATCAATTCACAATCTCCACTTTGAAACAAATTTTCCTTTCCATAACCAACAGCAGGAATCCGGAATAGAATCTGATGTTCTTTGAGCACTTGCACACACATTTTTCCTTACATCAAGAAACGAAACTGATGAAGTAGAGAAATCAGATGATGTGTTAAATTACTGGGAAGTGACGAAAGATCAATGATCATAGGCCTTCTGTGTTTATGTACAAATCTTTCTGGCATATCATTTCTAGAAAAAATATGCAAGATCAGGCAAGGTAATTAATTAGTGCCCCTGATCTCCCAAAGCCCTATTATTTAGAATTAAGCAGATAAAGTTTTCATCACTATCTCCGGGAAGTCATCAGGGCTCAAAATTTGTACTGTATTGATTGTTGATAGCCGCAAACCACTTGCATATCGAGGTTCCATGTCTGGTATTCGAGGAACTTGTGTAATAGTAAGAATTTAAGAAATTATTGATGAATGTATGCTAAATCTTATCATGCGGTAAGCCAATCGAACATAAATTAATTTTTTTAAAATTTTATTGTTTTCGTAATCTATTTATTTAATTAATAAATTTTAAAATGTAATTCGTAATTATTAAGTTTAATAAAACAAAATGAAATAAAGATGTAGCAGAATAATCTGTTAATGGCTCAGCTAATACAATTAAGAGAGAAAGAGATGAGACCAGAAAAAAGAGAGAAGAAAGTTAGAAAATAGGAGTAGGAAATTTGTAAATTTTCATTCACGTGTCAAATGTAAGCATACAAGATGGATTATTCAGTTCACTGACATCATAATTTCAATAACAATAATATAACTGATACAATAAAACACGTGGCGGTAACTAACAGCTACATGTCACATAACTAACTACTCAATTGCTGCAGCTGAGCAACCCATGCCTGCCATTGGCATTTCTTCTCTCCTTCAGCTGACACCTGCTTCAGTTTGTCAGCGTCCTTAACAAATTCAGCTTCCTTCTGCATTCTAGCGCATTTCACCAACTCAGCTTCATTCCAGCGTATTTCACCAACTCAGCTTCATTCTGCATTCTTGACTCCATTTCATCTCCATGATTAATATGCCATTCCATCACAAGAGAAATAAACTAGAAATTAGAGAAAGAGGAAGAGGAAGAGGACCATAAGTGAAGTGTGGTCAGCTTATCTTTGACTTGTCCAATTCAGTGTCAGAGCAGAATCAGCCAAAACAAGTTTCGAAATCAACGCTTCAAAACCCTCGAATGTGGGCAATTACCTGACGCCTTGATCTTGACATCAAAGGTTAGGACTTCATTTCAAGGCCCGACTCCCATTCCCATGGGCAATTCTTGTGGGCTAACTAAGCGTGGAAAAACAAGACTCATCCTAGTTTCAACCAAAACCTTTGACTACTTGGGTATTCTTTGACTACTTGGGTATTCTTTGACCAATTCCAATTCGCCAAGAAAGACCCATAAAAAAGGGAAATGAACATATTTTGACCACGTTTGTAGTATGTCTTAAATGAGTTGCAACTCAGAGAAATCAAGCAATCCAGGACAATGGAAGAGCGTTATATATAAACGTTTCGAGTCAAGATATGAAAAATTCCCGGTAAAGCAAAAGGACAAGCCATGGACCAGTTGATAAAACAACTGTTGCAGGGTGAAACCTTCTGGTATGAAACTACCCCTGCTCCACCTGTCGGCCGAAGTGCTTTTGTGCCATATGCAAATACACCTAAAATTGAACTGAGGTTACAGAGTGCTGCAGGTTGTACCAATGGAGTTAGCTCTGGAAACGCGAACAAGAGAATGATTGAATTCTTGAGGAAGAGTTGGCTTACAACGACAGAAACCAAAGATACCCAGAAAGAGAGGAGTTTCCATCACATGATGAATGAGAGAAAGAGAAGAGAGAAGCAGAAAAGAAGCTACTTTGACTTGCATTCCATGCTCCCTCTTGGCACCAAGGTTTGGTATCGTTTGTTTTTTATAACTACTAATTATTTATGTTGTGTTCCTTGAGCATTGCTTTGATCTTTCATTGCAGAATGATAAGAACTCGATTGTTCAAACGGCAATCAAGAGAGTTCAGGAGCTGGAATGGCTAAAGAAGGATCTGGAGGGGAGAAACAATGAGCTGCAGGCAACATTGGCTGCAATGAACGAGAACCAACATACTGAAGGAACCAAGATTAGAGTCAGGATAGTCAATCCAAAATCTGGGATTGATTCCATGTTGGCGGTTTTGAAATGCTTGAAGCAATTGGGTTCGAAACCCAGAATGATTCAGTCAAAGTTTACAAATCAAGAATTCCTTGCAGTGATCGATATTGAAACTGAGGTTTACCCTGTTTCTTCCTTAATATTGATTCATCTTATGCATGTAAATACCGTACAGTTCACCCTTCAACATTTATTAGGTCAGTCAATTTTTATTCGTCTATTTCATATTTAACACATATAAAAAATAAAACTTATTACATCACATCAATACATCAAATACAAAATATATATTTTTTATTTTTATTAAATTTATATATAATTTTTACTAAAATTTTAAATCATATCATTTTTATATTTTTTATATTATTTTTATATCATACCAAACCCAAATATTGACATATAAAATTGTGTTAAAATACCATAAAGATATGATTTAATGTTTAAATATAGTGCTACTATTAATAGTAAACCTAGTCACGTTCACTTTTTTGACAGATGGGAGGTGCCGAAGTAGAAAACGCTGTAAATAGAACATTGCAAGAAGCTGAGAGGAAGCTTCAGGAACGTTGAAACCAGATGCTAAACAAAAGAAGGTTGATCAAATTTTCTAATCTTACACCAATGGAAAACCACAAGTGTCACCAAAGAACATAGAAGAAGGGCAAAAAGATCAGGTCAATAGACCATAAACTAATTAATTTAGTTAAAAAGTGTAGCAGTAACAATTACTAACGTGGGAAATATGGGCCAATTTAGTTGCTAATAATAACAGGTTTGAATTCTTATTTGTCTAAAATGTTTCTCACCTTCTGAATTTGAATTGGCTGATTTTGCTTGGACCGTGATGCAATCTGACTTAAGAGAGCAAAGATCGTCTTCACTCTTGAACTGCAATAGTTTTTTTTTTTTTTTTTTTTTTTTTTTTAAATAGGCTTTGGAAAAAGTCAGCTCTCTGGACGTTAGGTGTTTGAAAATTGTGGTAGAATTCTTATTTGTCTAAAATGTTTCTCACCTTCTGAATTTGAATTGACTGATTTTGCTTGGACCGTGATGCAATCTGACTTAAAAGAGCAAAGATCGTCTTCACTCTTGAACTGCAATAGTTTTTTTTTTTTAAATAGGCTTTGGAAAAAGTCAGCTCTCCTGACGTTAGGTGTTTGAAAAATGTGGTAGAGATTAGAAAGCCTAGTTAAAACTACTATTGCTACTACTGTAATGTTTTGATTCATTAAATGTTGCAAATTACTTGGTTATATTTGCTCGTTAGAGGATAGGAAGAACAATACAAATTTGGGCATTCATCTATTTTTATTCATCATTTTTACTCTCACCTGTGTTGTTCAAAATGATCATGCTGCGACTGCCATAGAGAAATTGTGTTTAACAACTCTTGTATCGACATGCTGACTATTGTTGCCAATGACAGAACTTATAAGCAGTTATGCCACAGCACAAATCAAAATTTTAATAACAATACATAAATTTAACAAAAACCAAGAAATACACTTGTGTCTTTTATGCCAAAACGGATTATAGCATAATTTTCATATAAAACACTACATAAATACACAAATTACCATTTTTTATTTTTTGCGACTAATCAAATTCGAGTTATAAATCAGGTCTTCCAGAGGCAGTTAAATTAACAAACTATTTACAGCGTGGGAAAATTTCAAAGACCAGCAGTGGGAAAATTACCAAATCATTGACATATTCAACTAGGACAAAAATAAATGAAACATTTCAAAGCACCTCTTTAAAACATGAGCAAAGTGCACGTCTCATTCGCCAATATAACAAAGGAAAACATATAAAATTGTCATTAATTATAATACTAAAGGTACAACAAACAAAAATTGGTCAACTAAATATCCATTCATGGTAACACCAGAACAAGTATCCAAGCTGCAGAAAAGCAGCTCATTTAAGAGGAATAAACCTAGAAGAATGGGTAGCACCAATACCAGGTCTACCGTGCTTAACTGGCTTATATGAAATAGAGAACTCAGCAAGGTAATGGCTAATCATTTCAGGCTTGATTTCAACCTGATTGAATGTCTTGCCATTGTACACACCAATAATGCTTCCAATCATTTCAGGTACAATGATCATATTACGTAGGTGGGTTCTAACTGGTTCTGGCTTCTCACCAGGTGGGGCCTCCCTTTTCTGATTCAATACACCAGAACAAATATTATGTAAGCATAATTGTTGACTTAAATAGAACGATCAAACAGTAATGATACTCAAGATAATATTCTGATAACCGATACAATGACAATTCAGCAACAAACAAACAAAAGTTCTACAACAAAAACTGTACATTGAGTTCTAATCAGGTAATCTTGATAATACTAAAAATCTCCTAGGACTTGAATCACCATAAAATTGGACAAGTATAACTATCTGAAAATGAATATGAGTGCGAAAAATTAAAAGGAAAATGAATTAAGAAATTGCAGAAAAAATGGGGCAGATAGTTATCACGCATCCAACATAGGTTGAGAGTAACTTGCAAGTAGAACAACTTGAGAATCGAAAATTCATCAAATCAGGATTATATATTCTGTCAAGCACATTCAAGGCTTTGCACATAATTTCAAACATAAACAATGAACTGAATGCTTAAAAAGCCAGTAAAATAACAATTTACAACACATAACAAAAAAGACTCAAACTTCAGCCGGTAGGATTTGCTACAAAATACATTTCCAATGAAAATTGACCCCCTCCATGGAAAAAGATAAATCATAAAAGGAAATTATGAGTCATGGAACCAATAACCCTAACATAAGAAATTCCCTAATCATATCTTTGTTTAAGCATAAACACAAGTTTCAAGTAACATTATGGCAGTTAGGCCTCAGGCAAAGCTCATACTTTTAACAAAATAAAATAAACACTCCCCAGTAACTCAACAACCAACATCAACCTTTTAGAACTAAACAAAAATCCAATAAATTAATAGATAAAAAAAATGAAAGAGCAAAGTAAAGATTAAATTACCGCCTTGCGGAGCTTCTTGATTAAAGCCATGGGTTTTCTCTTGAGACCCCTCTGGAACCTACAATCACATAATAGAAGCAATAAAAAAAATTTTCACACTTTTCAGCTCAAACAAAAAAATAACTATTTGCAAAGATGAATCTTTTTTTTCCTTATTACCTTCTGCGAGCACGAGCTGGGAAGAGCTTGACAAGTTCATCGGTGGACATATCAAGGAGAGCATCCAAATCAACGCCTCTGAAGCTAAACTTCTTGAACGTTCTCTTCTTGGGCACTCCGGCCGCCGCCACCTCTGTCTCCACATCCGCCTGTCAAAATTTACCCATTCACCCCACAGTAAGAGAAAATGAAAAAGAAGAAAACAGAGAAGAAGAACAAGAAGAAGAAGGGGATAGACATAATTCACCATGGTTGAAAGCTTTGGGTTCTGAAGCTGAAGCGTGGCAGCTAGGGTTTACTTTGTTGAGGTGTAAGAAGTGGGTATGTTTTATATATAGAATAGCTGAAAACCCTAGAATCAGATTTCAGAAATGTTTGCTTTTGAGGGCCTGGGGTTTTGTTATTTCAAATTAGGGTAGGGAAAGTGTCTATCTTTGGTTGGGCCTAGGCCTGTGGCTTGGTTTGGATTTAGTGGTTGAGTTTCAAAGTTCGATCTGGTCAGATTGGTGGCAAATGGTACTTTTTACTATCTTGCTCGGAAGCTAACTCAACTTGGTCCAAGGAACGTGCCCAAGCCCCAAAGCTTTTTCATTATGGGTTAGTTTGGATTTCGTTTATCGGCCTAATTGGACCGTCAAAGGTATTTTGATAGCATATAATAGTGTTTTTGGTTCCAATTCCCTCCAATTTCTGACCGGAAGGAGAAGGATCAATTGGTTCACTACACTTGTGGCAGTCGAGTACCTTAATATAAAAATGAAAAATGAAGGCTTATAGTAGTTGGCTACTTTTTTTTTGGATAATTTATTATTATATCTAATTTTACCATTATTATTACATTTACATCCAAATATATAGTTTTGTCTGCTATAATATTCAGTCTCTCTATCATCATTATTTTCATTCATCAAATTTAATCTCTTTGTTAATTGAAATAACCGTTGCATCAAAATTTAATTTACTTTTTCTTTTTTGTTCTTCTGAATTGGACCATACTATTTATATAACTATAATTCCAACACTTAGTTACAAAGCTTAGGCATATATCCCCATAATGCAAATTTTTATGCAAACCAAATGACTACTCAAATGGATAATCTAGAACTTAATTTGCATATATTAGGCTATCTACTTTAGAATATAGAAAATGGCATTTGCAGGATTTAAAAGATTGGAGTTCGAATCTTCCTTCACCAAAATTTAAAAAAACAAAAAATACCATTGATCATTTGTTAACAATTACATTAAGCGATTCATTGGAAGTAGACATTCATTTTTCGTGTAGATGCACACCCATGATAAAATTCCTGAGGAGGGAAAAAACCAACCAAAAATGGAAGACACAAGACTTACTAGACAATTGTTTGTCCCTTTTGAAACAAACCTAATTTCCACATCAGCTGAAAATTGAAGGGTTTGCCAAAGGGTGATACATACATATAAATAACTAAATAAATATATATATATATATATATAGAGAGAGAGAGAGAGAGAGAGTTTCAAACTGGATTTTGCTTATGTTACAGTTGTTCGTGTGTTTCAATGTTGGATTTTTCCATTCTTTGAATGGAAGCTTTTAGCTCCAATTGAATGCTTGATCTTGAAGGGGACAAAACAATGTCTTTCCAAACCGAGCCAGGCTTGTCTACTGGACTTGGCTCATTGTAAAGCTCATATACAGATTCTGCTCCAGGGTTCAGGTTGCTGACATTTGACAAGCATTTGATATCATCTGGATCTGTCAGCAGCTTGTTAGCTCCATCTTTCCATGCTATCAACTGCATTTGTATATATAAAAATGTATGTTAAGAGAGCAAAAAAAAAAACAACACAGATTACTCAACAAATAATTAAGAAGACTTAATCGGTGATAATTGTTGATGGATAGGAGAAGCTGACCAAAGTGAAGGAATCATCCCTAATCGATAAGCTTTTTTTTTACCTTTGCTGGGCCTCCCACAGCGTTGTTGCAGTAGAGCCTGGCATTGTCAACAAGTTGGCAGTATCTTGGAAATGCACTTGCAAACATTTTGTGTGATTTTAACTGCGAATTTATTCTCACTGCTCTTTTCTCCATTATAGCTCTCCTGCACAGTTTCCCAAACATATATATAAGCCAATCGATTCAATCCAAATCTGCAATAAATTTCTTCTGAATGATGACTATTAATCAAAGTGGCAACCGCCAATTACCTTATTCCTCTAACAACAGCTAGATATGCATCACAAACCACCCCAACCAATTCTATTCTGTATGGTTTCCTGTGTGTCTGATGATCAGCATTTTCTTCTTGATTCTTCTCCTCTTCTTTTACCTGTTCCCAATAGTTTTCAGTAATGGTGCCATCTTCAGCCACCTTGTAGCCAACCCCCATCCTGTAACGGTATTTGTGAACGTTTCGAGCCATGGCAATTGTCTGCTCAACAAAAGGCTCCCATGATAAAGTCCCATCCATTATCACATCACGACCTTCATTCAATGCTGTTACTAGCAGTGATGAGGCAGCATCAGTGGAGGATTGGTGAACCTGGTTAGATAAGTGTACATATATACACTTCAAATATAAGTAACTTATTTAAGTAGTAATTGATGTGCTTAAAAAGCATCAATGGCAGCTAAGAAAATTGAAAGTTGGAGAGAATTTTTACTAGTTCAGCTGTTGGAAGCATATCATTGTGGTGACCCCTAGAGCTCAGAGCTCTGTATATAACATCTGTTTCTTTGAATGCATCTGCCTCTACAACCACAGCATTTGCTTCAGCTCCTACCCAGAATGATCTGCCAATTACAACATCAATACTTAATATATAATATCTCAATTTTATTAAGCTCCACTCTCTTACATCAAAGGTTTTTTTATAATACAGTTACTGAGTATCCTCCAAAATTTTCCTCTGGAAATATACCTAACACAAAAACCAAATCCTGATTGATAAAAAAAAGTAAACCCGGAGTAACTCTGGTGAGTGACAACTTGTTTGGTACTATATATAATCTCTATTTTTTTCAATGTCCAGATTTCATCATGCAATATTGCTTACCACACAATCGTTGCAATAATGCTGATTATTTTAAAGGGGACGTTGAATTGGCTGCTAGTCTTACTCTTTGAGTATATCTTTGAGAACAGTGCTTTTTCCAGCCCCCATACCGCCCCCCATAAGCAAGAGGACGGGACTCCTCTGGCTGTGAGCCACGGGCACCATTACGTCCGTGTATTTTGATTCGTCGTCGACTCGTCCCATCGCTTTCATCTCCTCTACCAATGTGGAGAACAACCTAGTCACCTTTAAATCTTTGGTCACCCTCTCAAATCTCTTCTGCCTATAACAAACAAATCAATATTCAATCCAAAATATTTTAAAAACAAATCCTTTTAATTGATATAATTCTATCTTTCTTACTTTTTGGATTGGACTGGTTTCAATTAGATTAAAAACAATTATAAAAATAAGGTTAATTAATACAACGATAAAATTAAAATTAATTATATTATATATATTTAGATATAAAAATAACAATGATAGTAAAATAAATTACAATAAAAAAATTATCATTAATAATATTAGATTAAAAATTATTTAATCTAAATAATTTAATAAAGTCGTTCCTTTTTAATTTATATTCAAGTATATTCTTATTTCAAATAAAAAATTATTTATATTAAAAGTTAATTTAAATTTAAATAAAATATAAAGATTTATTTAAATATAAAGTAAAAAATTAAAAACTTTTTTTGATATAATAAAAATATAAAAATTTATCATTTAAAGATTTTTTTATTATTTTAATTTAGATTTTTATATATTTTGTTACATTACTGTTCAATAATGGATGGGAGACATAGTACATCATATTAATAGTACGTTAAAGAATTTTATATAATACTGCTCAATAAGTGATGGGAGACATAGTACATCATATTAATAATATTAGATTTTATAATTTAAAATTTAATATAATAATATGATATAAATATAAAATAAGATAATTTAAAATTTTAATAATAATTATATTTGGATTTAATAAAATAAAAAATATATATTTCATTAGATATAAATTATAATTCATAATTTTTATATAAAATATAATATAAATATATAAATTTTAATGTTTTATATAACATAAATATATAAATCATCATATTTAAATAGTATATTAACAAAAAAAACTAAAAAATGTATTAGCATATAAACAAATGATTAGATAAAGTAGTAAAAAGAGTATTTTATTTTATATTTAAGTTCGAACTTGTTAAAATTATAAAAAAAATAATTTTTAATAAACTTATTAAATTTAACGTAAATAGATTTATTTAAACAATTAAAAAATTGTACAGGATAAAGTTCAAAACTTTTTTGCTGCTGAATAAAAAAAATTTGTTCTTGCACCTATTTATGGGGTACTGGTAACAGTACCTCAATATTTCAATACGTCAGTATCTTACCTCAATAATTGTGAGGCGACAAAAACCTAAAAAGGTTATAGACTCACAGCCAAACTGATTATTTAATGACTAGTTTTAATTATTGTTACAGTTTAAAAAATTTTAATTGAAGAAAATATGTTTAAAAATGTAATAAAAATATAATTTAAAAATTTTAAGTATTTAATATTATTGTAAAAATATTATGATAAATTAAAATGTTTAAAAATCATTAAATAATAAAATTTTAATAATATTAAAATAATAAAATAATTTTACTTACAAAAATTGTTTAAATTAAAAAAAAATACTTCTTTCAGAGTTTAGTTTGAGTTTTTAAAATATACTTTTAAATTGAAATTGAAATTTTTATTATTTAATAGTAAAGTTGAATAAAATCAACTTTGGATCCTAAAAATTTTCTGGCCAAAAAAAAAAAAACTAAAAATCCCTTTTGAACAAATTTAATATATTAATATTAATTTTAAATATAATATAATAATATAATATAAAAATGATATAAAAAACATAAAAATAACACAATTTAAAAATCTTAGCAAACGTTTATAAATTTAATAAAAATTTTAAAATATATTTTATATTTAATATATCAAAACAAATTATTCGTATTTGACATGAACTATCTAGCTTAGGTTTTGTGTTATAATTAGAAATATATACTATTTAAAAATTAAAGACAATAACATAAAAATATGTATTGAAGGCTAAAGGCAACGAAATTAAAACCACCTTGTAGCTGCCATTACAAAGTCTTTTAGCTTTGTTTTCTTCTCAGATTCAACACCCAAAACCTGCCATTCAAACAAATTTAATTATGAAATCATCAATTAAATTATTTTGGGATTAATTCGATCCAAACAATTCTGGTTCATATATACCTGGCCAATCATGTTTGGAGCATGGCTCCAATGGAAAGCAAAATAACTAAGGATGCATCTCTCAAACTCCTCCATTAGCTTTACGTACAAAGCCTTAGCTTCTGGTTCATCACCAAAATATTCAAGGATGCTAACCTCGCAATCTTTGGGTTTCATCAGATAGTTATGAGCCAACTTGCACAGCTGTGGACACTCGTTTGCATCTACAAATCCCAGTTGCCTAGCTGCATCCCAAACCCAAAATCAACAAATAAGCATTTCTTTACACCTTGTTACAAAAAGAAAATAAAAAAGGTTTATTTGTTTTGTACCAGTTAAAAATGTAATTTGAATCAAACTATTTGTGAATTATTTAAGCTCAATTCGACAAAAAACTTAAATTCAAATCGTTTATAGTTGAAGAATCAAGTCAAATTTAAATAATTTAATATCTAATTTGATAAGTTTGCAAATTTAATCTAATTTATATTTTATAATATATGTAATGTATATGTTATTGAATTTAATGGAGTCCATCGATCTAAGCTCGACTCAATTATTACGATCTGAATTTCAGCATGAAAAATAAAATTTGATCAAGCTCGAATTGAGCTTAGAGCATCAAATTTGCGAGTCAAACCAAGCTGGGACGTAGTATATCAGCTGATTACACCCTTAGTATCAGCCAAGTAAAGTGGGGAAATCAAGCTAAATATAAAGGATATATACCAACATAGTGGGAGAATCTTTCCAGGTTTCTAACTCGGCCTGACTCTGTTCTTACTAGCAGTGGAATGATACTTTGATCCTTAACAGGATTACTATTCCGCCGGTAGTAACTTGCGGCGGCTGCTGCTATGGCTCCGATGACAAAGGCAGCAAGGACGCCGGTGATGATGACTTTGCCATGGCCATCCTCTGCTGAGATTTTAACAAAAAATTACAAAAACCAGGGAACTTTACTATCAGAAATTAAAGAAAAAGAATAATAAGGTAATTACCATGACGCATGTTGCCGTTGAAAATATCCAGAGAAAGAATATTCCAAGTGTAACTTGTAGTGGGAAGATGAAATTTTGGGTTTGGCTTTGATGGGTTGAGAGATGACGGATACTTTTATACGCTAGAAGGAGGAAAAGGCACTACATCTTTGGGACTAAACAAATCTAGAAATGAATTATGAGAATTTAAATTATTATTAGTTCGAAAAATAAAAAGTTTGATTTTTTTTAAGTAAAATTTTGATTTTAAATTTTGTAAATGAAAAAAATATGTATTAAAAAAGTTTCGTTCCTTTTTAAAGTCTGATCTGATTTAATTTTAAAATAATCTAAATATAAAATAATTATTGAATTCAAAAAAATAAAATTAAGAATTTAAATTGTACAGCATCATGTGGAATTTGTTGCAATGTCCAAAAAAGAATCTTCTAATAAAAATTTTTATTATTTTATTAAATTATCTTAACTTTTAAATATTTAATTTTATAAGTTAAATGTTTATTAAATAAAAATTTATTAACAGTTAATATTTATTTTTTTAATCTAAAATTCATTTGAAATAAAAATAAATATTAAAATATTTAATTAAATAAAAATATATATTTAAGAATTTAATTGATCTAAAATAAAAAATTTAAGATTTAATTAATTAAAATAAAATATCATAAAATTAAATAATTATTAAATTTTTGTTTAAAATTTTTAACCCTTCTACCATATTTTAATCTATAAAATCAAGTATGGAAAAGAGATAAAATTTAGATAGAATTGTTTAAATGAAGTTAATCATGGCCTTTATAAAAAAATTACACAATTTTTATTTTAAAAATTAAAATTTATAAATTAATAAATTTTAATAAAAAAATTATTAAAATAAAGTTTGTAATCAAAATTTAAATAATATATATTTAACGATAAAAATTTTATAAAAAATTTAATAAAAATATTTATTTAAAAAGAGTACTAATTTTTTTAAATCTATATTTGATTTATGTAATAATTTTTTAATTTATTAATTAGTTTAATTTTATTTAAATATTCTTTTACAAATTCAGAATTTTCATTTAAAAATTCTAAATAGAATAGTGGCTCAGACAAGATTGTCTAATGATAGAACTTTAAGAAAAGTTTTTTTTTTCCATTTTTCTTTTTTCATCATTACCAATTTACCAATCATCTTGCTTTGAAGTGGAAACCATAATCATATCAGCGTGATGCATTGAACGTGTAACGCGTTTTTCGTGCTGATTTTACAATGCTACATTATTTTAAGTTTGGGGGACAAAAATAATGTTAAGTTTTCTCACATTTATAATTATAAAATCAATAAGGTAAAAAAATTAATGCATATCAAATTTTTAAAATTTTTAATTTAATAATTAAATTTAATTTTTAATAATTTTAAATATATATAAAAATTTTGATGCATGATGATGTTCTACCTGGTATACTCAATAACTTACATGTACAAAAAAATATACATGATAATTTGAGACTCTTATCATTTTATAATTTACTAATTTTCTTTTGTTTCTCAAAATAAAAAGTAAAAGCAAAAAAATATTTTTTGGAAAGAATTAATTAAGAAATTAAAACTATAAAGTTGACTTTCAAAATTTTGAAATGCATAGGTATACATTTACCGTGTATGGTTTACCTTTTAGTTTTACCTCATCAATTATTAATTTGTTCGTTTTTAAATAAAATAATTTATTATTTAATTAGTAAAAAATTATTGCATTCAAGTGAAGTTTTTAGACTCCATCAACGAAATTAGTAAGATTATATTAAAAAATAAAAATAAATAAATAAATAAATGAGACATGTACAATCTAATTAAATCCTATTTAATAAGTTTTGTGTTAATTTTCATTATAATGGAATAAGACAAAGAAAACGTCAATTCAATTAATTTAGTTGTAAAAATTAAAAAATCGACTAAACCTACTGCAAGAAAATAGGTTTCAGCGATTTTTTTTTTTTTTTTTACACTTTTAGCGATGTTTCCTGTCTTTTTAGGATAGAAGGTTGTCCATATTCTATATCTTGATTCGGAAAGATCACTTTCAGAACGGATGTGCGAGAAGTTTAATTACGAAGCTATGCTGATATCTATCGTTGAGTCAGGGGCTGACCTTACCGCATTTCCAATCCACAAGCAAAGCATTGAATGAACACAAAATCACCATATGACTATTCTTATGGGCGAGAACTTATGTACATACAATCATGAAAGAGCATTTCGAGATGGAAGCAAATACTTACAATGAAACGACAAACTTAATAATCGAGGAATATCTCAGAGTAAAATAGCTCAACTTTTTTTTTTTTTTTGCATCGCACTAAATATTAAGAGGTGTTTTTTAAAAATGTCGTTAAAAGTGCTAGTTCTTCTAGTGTTAGAAAATTTATCAATGTTTTTTTTGTTTTTTTAAATAAAACTTCACAAAGTATAACGGCAACATTTGTATGTAATTTAGCGATGTTGCTTAAAAACCTTGAACTGTCACTTAAGTCTCAAAAAATTTTGTTTAGCAGTGTTTACAAGCATTACTGTTGCTTAATTATGAAATTTAGTGGCATTTGACTTATAAACCGGCTTTAGTCTTATTTAATGATGTTTTTGTATTACAAATGTTACTAAATTTTGTAATTTATATGATGTTTATAAGAATAAAAACCGTTAATATTTTACTTTGTTTTTTTAAATATAATTGAAAATTAATGATTATTTCTTTCAATAGTTACTACGACAATTATATTAAACACAAACAAAGTATTGAAACACATAAAATTTACTTAAGATTCATTAACCGAATATTATGAAACATTTAAATATCTAAATACATCATTTGTTTGAATATGTTAAAAAGTAAAATATAATTAAATTTAACTTGTTTTTCAAATATATAAAATAAAAAGTCAACAAGTAAGAAATTGATGATTGTCGAAAGTTGAAGCATTATAATTAGATGAATTATTTTTTTCACCAAGATCACTAATGTGTTCGAGAGCCTACTGAATAAGTAAAACAAGTATTTACTATAATAATAATAATCTATATAGATAAAAAAAATATAAATACTTCATTACGAGGTGGAAATAAACATTTATATCATTTCTCAAACCTTTCTCATCAAGAATTATTATCGATAAGATAAATGATTGTTTCATGCCAATCTAAGGTAGCAAATTATAACGAATCACAATAACTGGCTAGGTACTATAAAAAGTACTAATCACTTTGATCGGATTAAAACAGTCAGATTCTAGTGCACGAATAACATTTTATGGATCAAAACTAGTTTAGAAACCTAGAGTTAAATGATTTTCATGCTAAAGACTTAGCAGGATGCCTTAATGATCCGTCATTTATTCGTTCATCATGATGTCACCTCATAAAATATTAGATTTTGAAAGACATGAAAATTCGTTGAACTCTAGGTATTAATGGAAAATGCCATAAAACTTTTGCATGCTTTTCTTTAACATATACTTCATCAGCATCCTCATTCAAGATTTTTTTAAGATTTGTGTCCAACCAATGAGAATTTTCACACATATAACAAGATTGTTAATTTGTTGTATCACCCTAATAAAACTTGCAATCATTTGGACAGTTTTGAATTTTCTTATATCCAAGCTTAACTCTTTGATCATCTTTTTAGAATCTGTACAAGATTCAAGAATTTTTGCAAAAAGAAAGATTTCTTTCATAAACTCTAATTGATAACGCCAAAGAATTTTCAATCCAGCCATATAAACATTTCAAGTGAAAAAGATGCACATAGAAAATAACTTTAAATACTCAGATCCCTCATAAAGTTCTTTATTCATATCCTCAAGTAACTTATAAAACTTTTATACTTTTTCATGTTTTTTCTTAATGTAACAGGCTTTCTCATCATTTATAGCATTAGTTGTTCCATTAGCATGATTTGGCAATGGATTTTCATTAATGTTCGATCCTCTTAAAGTGTCAAAATTCAACAAACCAACATTAATCAGAAGTTGCACCTTGGCATTAGCATCATATCATTTAGAGTAAAAAGGTTTCAAGGGTTCCAAATAGAGTAGGTTGTTGGTCAGTTACACCTATCTCATGTTTACCAAAATCATTCATTTCAACATTTGATTGATTAAATCCATCATTTTGAAATGACGAATTTTACAAATATTAGTTATGAATGTTAAAAGCTTCTAGCAACATGCCTTATATATCATCTTGTCTAATAAAATTATGTTGATTTTGGAAAGCCCTTGATGCTGAAAGAATTCTAGTTTATGACCTTAAAGGTGTAAACTTTTCATGAAAATACCAATGAATGGATCCTAACAGAAATTCAATACAAATTTAATGTTCCAACACAACTACACAAATATGCCAGTCAATATTAACACACTTCAAACATAGGCATTATATCTTATTATCTTCACATGCATTCTCAAAAGCAAAATTACGAAAATTATCTATTCCCACTCAATTCCTTTGACTTAACCTCTACTTTTTGCATCCAATTTTTATCCCATTAGTACTTGCTATATTATCAAACATAACTTATATACTTAATTATTTGAAAACGAACTATAACATACATATTAAGACTATTTGTGTTATAATTATATATAAAAAACACAATGTAAAATTAGGCATATATTTTAATTAAAAATATACTAATTTTTCATTTTAGGATCATTTTTATCCTCATCACAATGTCCTTTTATTTTGAATTAATTTGTTCAAGCTTATCCAACTTTCTAAAGTTTAAAGGCTCAAGGCATATTTTCTTTAATTTCTAAACATCATGTGTGGTTTCTATAAAAACATATCCAATGTTCATAGTATATCAAAATTTTAAAGGCTCAAAACAAATTTTAAGCATCTAAATTCTAATTACACCTTAATAGAACTCAATTTATTATTTAGCAATAGATTGTATGCTTAAAAGTCTATCACTAAAGCATGTTTAAACAATATTTACAAATCCATAAACAAGTCATAAGGTTTATTAGGTAATATTACTATTTCTCAACAACGTTTTGCTACTGTAAATCATGAGCTAACTTTAATCTTAGATTGAAAAGTGACAAAAAAAAACATAGTTAGTATTGTTAAAAATTAATATTAAAAAAATAAAAAAAATTG